TGCTATTGATTCCACTGGCATGAGTAGCGAACCCTCCGCCTCAGTTCAGCACGCCTCCCAACCCCATCACTCATTAGACAGGAGACTGCGATGAACACATACATACATACACATACATACACACACAAACACACACATGGAGTGTGTGTATCTGTATGTATGTATATATTATAATATTTTGTTATACATATTTCAAATGAGTATTTACTTAACTATACCAAAGTGCACTCAATCTTACTAGTTAGTGAACATTTAGCAAAATATTGTAATGATTATGGATTACTCCCCATCAGACATGCACATTCATTTAACTTCACTGGGGGGCTGTTTTCACGGTTGTTTCTGGGAATTGTTTATGGCTCACTGTCTTCCACATAACATTGTGCCATTTCCCAGAACGGCCCAGCGACAAAGAGCATATATTCAGCTTAGAACACTGAGAAGGCAGCTTTTGTTATAAGGAAATTACCTTCCAGGATATAGAAAATGCAGTTCTTTGTGTTCTCCCCAGAGCTGCTCCATCCTGCCTTTTTCTATCTGTCTCTTTCAGTATTCGCTCTGTGGAGAAGGCCCGTGCTGAGCTCCTGCCTGAGATCGCTCAAATGCGTGCCAAAGCTCAAGAGGAACAGAAGAAAAGAGAGAACCAGGATTCGCTTGTCCGTCGCATGCAGAAGAGAGTCCTACTGCTCACCAAGGTAAAAAAAACAAAACATAAACAAACATTCAGCTACTCTCGTCAAAACAAAAGGATTCATGCTTTGTAAACATACTATGTATTTCAGAACTGAAAACTTCCTCCCCACGGCACAATAGCAGCTACATTTCTTGCTATAACAATAGGTGCTTCTTTTTGCCTGTTTTTAAAACCAAACATATTGTAATGCAAGTGTGCTCATGATATTAACATCTAAGTATTGTATTACATTTAAAACATTTCATCAAGTAGAATGATAATTTTCAGTTCTTCTGTTAGTTTTTTTTTTTTTAAATGCTTAGACACTAAAAGTGGTACTTGAGGCCCACTCAGTGAAACAGTTCACTCGTATACCTAATCTTTAGACCAAGTCTGCAAAACTACAAGCACATTACATGCTTTAAACTCAGTTTGCTATTGTAAAACAAACTTTTTGCAAAACCCTAAACACGGTTCTCAACATTACGCACATTCAAAACTAACAGCTCTTTTGTTTAATTTAGGAAACACTGCCATTTAAATGCCACACTCATTTACTGATGATCTACACCCAGTGATCATGTGTGAAAACACTTATACATAATTTGTTCAGTTAGAATTTCAAAGAAATTATTTTTACCCCCTTGCATTTCTGTTTACAGTGTGTGTGTGTGTGTGATTATATACTGTGTGTACAGTATATGTACAGTACTAGTCTCGCGTAGCCAGACCTTCGGACTGATGGCTGAAGGTCTGGAATCCATGGCAGCTTTCATTGGCCGGTTGTAAACACAATGTTTTTCTTCTTTCGTGAGGGGGTTTGGCGTCCCGGCATATTTGTTTCAAGGCGGAACGTTGAAGAACGCGACGCACACGTCTCCCGGAAATCCTATATAATTCAACCAATCCGATGACAACTTCGAAACTCCTGAAGTGTTTCCACTTTTGTGTGCCTTATGCATCAGACGTTTAGCCAACGTTCCGTGGGCGTGACGTCTGAGGCTGAGACTAGGCGGGGCATAGAGGAGAAACAATAATGTACAGTATGTGGAAAATAATGTGTTTTTTTGAACCTTAAACCG